ATGCATGGGTTGCTCCATGTTGGAATCAAATCGAGAGCAACTGGCGCTGGCAGTGAATGTTCGCACTTGGTTGAGCACTTGATTGTAGCTCTGTAGTTTCCACATGCAACTTTCCTTTTGCTATTGTGTGTGTGTGTGTGTGTGTGTGTGTGATATACTAATTTTTTAAAGCGTCCGGGCCAATCCAGTTTTTAAAAGAAACTATTTTTCATTTTTGAAGTCATAAAATTCTTATCATCCCTTAAAAAAAAAAAAACTTTTACCAGCTAAATTCTAAGAGTCAACTGACTTTACCCTCTTCATTACACCTGCACTTTATTATTGGCTATTTTTTCTCCAGTAAAATCTGGGGGGTTGGGTACTTTATGCTTTAAATCCGGTATTAGGGTTATATTCACGCATTACTCCAGGTGTATTTAAGAAGCTAGTCATGATAAGGCCTATTTAAGGCGTCTAGAGGTGCAGCCTTGGTGACAATAGTGGGTGGTCTACTGTTGAGCTCTTCGCTACAAGGTCAGCAGTTTGAATCCCCCAGCTGCTCATCCCCTGGGAGAAAGACGCTGCAGTCTGCTCCTGTAAAGTAGTTTGGACACGGTGGGGGCGATTCTACCCGGTCCTGTAGATTGCGCTGTGTCGGCATGCACTCCATGGCAAGGGTGTGGTTAGTGGCGCAGCAGTGAAGCACTTGGCTGGGAACCAGGAGGTTGGTTCAGAGACCCAGCCACAGCTCCACTGTAGGAAGACTGGCCATCCAGTAGGAGTTGGAATTGGCCGAATGGCACCCAATGGCAGTGTGCGTTTGGTTTGTGAGTTTCACCCAGGCAAAGATGCTCATTTCTTAGGGTTGCTAATTGTGTTGGTTGGTATAAAATACAGTCAGAATGTGGTCTGGATCCAAGCGAGATAAAATACAGCTTCGTTTAAAGGTTAGTGGCAAGTAATAGTTTAACCATAGAGAAGACTCAGCATAACCAATTCAAATGAAATGCCAAGGGCTGCATTGATTTGTTGGATTCAACAATCGTGAAAGAATAAGCCCTGTGATTATGTATTTAAATCAGTCTCTTTCTTTAAACATGGACATAGTTTAAAAATCATTTAGTGACGGGCACACCATTTGTTACATTTTCCAGGCAGACTTTATAATAAAAGGAAAATTGGCGAGTCTTCTAAAATTGCTATAAAGGGATTCGATCTTTAAGAGCCGATCCTTACATTTTGTGGTAAACATTTCAGATTAGTTTGTTTGTAAGGCAAACATTTAAAAAGAAACAAGGCTTTCATTTAGTAATTTTGTATGGAAGTTGTTTGTTAGGTGCTGTCAAGTGGGTTGTGAACCACAGTGACCCTAGTTCAAAAAAGAAACGCTGCCTGGCCCACGCCATTGTTGTAGCCCCTGCGTCAGTGCATCCCCTCTATCCTCCACTCTACGAAGCTTGGTGCCTTTTTTACAGGGACTGGTCTCTCCTGATAACATGTCCAAGGTATGTGAGATGAAGTCTCGCCATCCTTGCCTCTAAGAAGCATTCTAGCTGTACTTCTTCCAAGCCGGATTTCTCTGTTCTGGCAGCCCATGGCACTTTCGGTATTCTTTGCCAGCACCATCATTCAAATGCATCAATTATCCCGTGGTTTTCCTGGTTTGCTGTCCAATTTCACATGCAACATGAAGCGATGAAAAATACCATGGGTTGGGTCAGGTGTGTGCCCTCTAGTCTACAAAATGACATCTGGGCCCTTCAGTACTTTAAAGAGGTCTTGTGCAACAACTTAATTGAACCACATCATCGGCTTTCTTGACTGCTGCTTCTTGATGAATAATTATGGATCCAAGCAAGATGAAATCCTTTTCCTTTGCTTTCTACTGCTATCGGTTGGTCCCATTGTGGGATTTTTGGTTTTCTTTATACTCAGTTGTAATCTATGCTGAATGCCACAGTCCAGTCCAGGGGCTTTATCAGCAAGTGCTTCAAGCCCTCCTTGACTGCAGCCAACCAGTGTGTCATCTGCATATTGCAGGTTGTCACTAAGCCTTCCTCTCATCCTAATGCCTCATTCCTCTTCATAGAGTCCAGCTTCTTTGATTACTTGCTCAGTATACAGATTGAATAAGTATGGGGAAAGGATAGAAGAATCCTTACGCATACCTTTCTTGAGTTTCAATCAGGTAGTTTGCCCTTGATGTGTTTGAACAACCACCTCTTGACCCATGTACAGATTCCACCTGAGCATAATTGAAATGTTCTGGGAATGCTCAGTTTTCTCAATGTGGTCTCTAGTTTGTTCCATAGTTGAATACCGTTCACTCGTCTAACAAGTAAACATCTTTCTGATCGTTTTTTGCATTTCAGCCCAAATCCATCTGACATCAGCAGTGAGATTCTTCATGGCTTGTCCTTATCCGCATCCAGCTCGAAGTTCTGGTCACCGCCGGTCAATGTACTGCTGCAAGTGTTGTTGAATTATCTTAGCAAAATTTTCACTTGCAAGTGATAGTAATGATTCTGTTTAATAATTTCCGTATTCTACTGGATCACTTTTTGTTGGAATGGGCACGGACAGGGATCTCTCTTCCACTCCATTGGCCAAGTAGCCGTCTTCCAAATTTCTTGCCATAGGCAAGTGAATGTTTCCAGCGTTTCATCAGCTTGTTGAAACATTTTACTTGGAATTCTATCAGTTCCTTAAACACTGTTTCCTGCTAATGCCTTCAGTTCCCTGATGATTTGTTCACCTCTTGAAATGATTGAATGCCAGTTAGTTCTTTTGCGTACAGTGGCTCTGTGTATTCCTCCCATCTTCTTTTGATGCCTCTTACGTCACTCAGTTTTTGAATCCTTCAATATTTAATTGGAGGTTTGACATTTTCAATTCTTTAAGCTTAACATGCTAAGCATGTTCTTCCTTTCAGCTTTCTAATTTAGGTCTTTGCACATTTCCTCATAATACTTTGTCGTTTCGGCTACCTTTGAAGATTTCTCTTTAACTCTTTTAAGTTATTTCTTCCATTTCCTGTAGTACATTCAAGAGACATCTCTTCGGACACCCATTTTGATCTTCTCGTTCTTTGTCTTTTCAGTGACCTTTTGTTTTGTGCTCTCGATGGCCTCCCACGCTCGTCGGTCTTCTGTCATGAGTGCTCAGTGCATCCAATCGAGTCTTAGGATGGTCTTAAGTTTTAGGTGGGATGGACTCAAGGTCGTATTTTGGCATTCTTGGGCTTCTTTTAATTTGCTTAGATGTTAACTGGAACTTACATGTGAGCAGATAATGTTTTGTTGCACGGTCAGTCCTCGACCCCATCTTGGCTGCTATAGTGAGCTTTGGCATCATCTCCTCCCATAGATGTACAGTCCATTGGATCCTGTGTGTTCCACCTGGCAAGGACCACATGTTTAGTTGCCCTTAATGTTGAAAAAGATATTTGCAATGAAGAAGTTGGTTTTACAAAATTCTATCGTACAATTTCCAGCTTTGTTTCTATCACTAAGGCTATATTTTCCAACCATGTGGCAACATTTGCATTCTAGTGGCTGGTCTTTCTCAGTGCTTCTTGATGGCGTGTTTGATCGATTTCAGACTGAAGAAGTTAGTAGAATTCTTCATCACTGGCTTTAATGGTTGGTGAGTACATTTGAATAAGGGTTTATTAAGTGGATCATATAAACACTGTCCTTGCTTTAATTATTTATAGATGTTCGTAGCAGTGTTTTCTTATTTTGAGTCATGCCCCATCAGCGAATGAAGGTCGGTCCCCAGAGCGGACTCCAGCTGCATCTTGCTGGTCAGTTATCCTGTGAAAGCAACTCTTCTCTCTGAGGACTTGGCAAGCAGAGGAGCTCATCTTCTGGCACAATGTGCTCTTGCTTCTCAGAAGGTTTTCAGTGGCGAATCCCTCCGAAAAGAACACCTTATTTCTTCTTTATCATCTGTTCTGAGTTTGGAAGCTCTGCTGAAACCTCCCCACCTTGGGTGAGCCTGCTGGTATTTGAAATGCCAGCATCGCAGCAACACAAGCCACTACAGTAGGACAAACGGACAGACACGCGGCCAAGGTCCCGAGTGGGTCATTGGACATGTGAATGTTAGTCTTAAGAGACCTCGAATAAATAAGATGGAGAGCTGTTAGCATTTTCAAAGCTACTCTTGTAGGAATTTATTTTAAAAATAGACTCTACTTCCATTTTATAACCTCTGCTGGACATGCTCAAGGAGCCATAATAATGCCCCACAGAGGCCCCGGGAAGGCTTGCAATTTTGTACGCTCTTTATTTATCAGCAAAGATAGTACTTTAGCCTGCTGCTAATGCTCGCTGCCAAGTGAGCAACCCCAAGCCCTAAAGAAACATTCACATTGGGACTCCTTGTTCTTGTAAAATATAAGTTCTCCTCCAATGCCTCGTTAGCTGGTTGCATATCTGAGGATTCCAACAACCGTGGGAAAAGGGAAAATACTGGGCCGGAGCTGTTTAGTGATCAGAACAATTCCTCAAAGGCTAGGAGGGAGCGGAGAGTGCAGTACGTTGTGTTAAGTGGTATAAGTAGCTACAGGTGTTGTAAAGTGTACTGCAGGATGCTGTCGGTTATAACTATAGGAGGGACTTGAGCATCAGCGGATCTTGGCATGAGGTGGGGAAGGGTGAGTGATGATTGTGTGTGAGATCTGGATTTTGTGGAAGTGAAACTATGAAATCATAAGGAGAAGATCTTTCCAATCATCACATGCTATTTCCCCCCCCCTGAAATTTCCTTAGAAGTAGAAATGTTATAAATAACTTATTGTACTACTTTTTTTGAGATGGAAAACTTTTTTTAAATTAAAATTTCCAGACTAAATACTTAATTGATGTTTTTCCCCTCAGATCATTTTGCTAACACATGGACGGGTGACAATGGTGTTCTTTGCTTTTTTTTTTAGTGCTTTTAAATGCAGAATTGAATGTACTAAAAGATGCAATTTTGGCTTTTAACTAGAGATTATTTTCTCTTGCTAGGAGGCCAGTGGAAGTCACCATAAAGTTTCTGTTTCCCCTGTTGTCCATGTTCGAGGACTCTGTGAATCTGTGGTGGAAGCAGACCTTGTGGAGGCGCTGGAGAAATTTGGGACTATATGGTAAGGACTACCGTGACTCCCTGCTGGTGTAAAATAGTGTGTTTCAATAGTCTACGGTGAGTAAGCCTGCTGTCGGTTGCCCATAGTTTCCCCTGAACGTCTTTGGCCTTTTTCACCCCCCGTAGTTTTAGTTTTCCTGGGTGATGCATAGATGTGCTCTGTAGGTCCGTGATCACCCTCTCGCTCCCCAGCCAGGTTGTGTATAAAATCGATAACTGTGCATGTTTATCCAATTTTCAAATGACTCCAGGGTTTCCTTACAAATTTGGCTTTTAACTGATGAACGGATTATGTCCTTCATCTTCAGAGTCAGTTATACTTAGTACTTGAGCTGAAGTACTGAATACCAATTTTTTATTTTGGTTTAAAACACTGGAATATTTAGGAGTTCCCTAACCACTCTGAATGGGTAGTTTAAGAATGGACATTATATTGAAACCCACAACCTTCCTCGAGTTCTTAAACGCTTCCTCCCCCCAACTACCATGACCCCAGTTCTACCTTGCAAACCTGGTTAGACCAGAGGATGCACAGCGGTACAGATGGGAAATGGAAACACGGGGAATCTAGGACAGATGAACCCCTCAGGACCAGAGGTGACAGTGGCGATACCGGGAAGGAAGTGGGGGGTAGAAAGGGGGAATT